CAAAGTTTGTTTTTTATGATTTACATATTTGGAAAAATCCTCCTCGGATAGCATTTCTTTTTATTTTATTTTGCAACCTTCACAGCTTTTTCCTCCATCTAACTAATAGATCGTTAAATATGCATCGAAGATCATACTTCGAATGCTGAAAGATGAAATAGGAAATTTTTCAGTTTGTTTTTCAACAATAATCGTTACTGTTATACTATTGCCAAATTTTTGTAAAGATTGATAAAGCAAAATTAAAGCTTATGGGGAATAACTCCCACTCTGCATTGAACAGTAGATATTATAATTCATATAACAATTTAAGGTGTTCAGAAAATTTTCTTGGGGAAGCTGCTGGAATTAAAATGGGGAAATGAACACAATATGGTGATGATGATGATGCCATTAGCGGGGCAGATGAGCAATTTGAAAAGCGACACACAAAATTGTAAAGCAGCGAAAAAGGAGAACGCACTATCCATCCTCGCTGCATTTTTCACATTCCTCTCTCGACTCCCGTCATCCCGAAAAGTTACCGAATTTGCGTTTTCTCTTTTCTTTTGGCTAATTTTCATTTTTGGACATGTTTACATGTCACTTTTTCATGTAATAAATTATTGAACTTATGAACATCGATTCCTAATCAAATATCCCTTTTTTGGTTTATTTCTTTCATTTCCTTTCCTTTCTTCACCACTTCATTTTTGTAAAAAACTTAAGAAAGTTGCATTCAGATATTTCTGAATGATCTTCACCTTAAAAAACTTTTTGGTTAAAAGTTATTTATAAATCTTCACAGATATTATTTATAAAGTTTTAAGTTTCATTTTCCTATTTGACTTTAGATTCAAATTTCTGTTTCTTCAAGGAGCGGAATTAATACCTTACTTTTAAATTATTATAAAAATTCTATTTTATTTCGACTATAAAATAAAATATTATTGATCTGTATCATTTTAGTGCTATTTTTAAAATTGGATAAATGAATGAAGATGAACAGTGTGTGTAATAATGAATTAATTGAATAGTCCACTTCCGAATAATATCATGCCGGAAATACGTGATCGTAGTATTGGAAATTGTCACTGCTTCCAAAATCATTTGTTTGTCTAATACGTCTGTATAAAGAAATAAAAGTGATGCAAGAGAGAAACGCCGAATGAAGAAATAATTGCAGTTTTGCCAGCTATGAATATATTTTTCATGATATTGAAAATTTAATAAAAAGTATGAATAATTTATATTATTATACCAACAAATCCGCTAGCAATTGCAATGACAGTTGCGCAAACACGGAATGTACTAAATATTTTTCAAAAAGACCACCTGGTTGGTCTTCTTTTTCTTTGACTTCCTTTCGGCTAATATTCATGAAATTAATATAATTAAATGTGTAAATCATTCATGCCGCTAATAAATAATGTTTTAGAAAAACATTCTTCAACATTATTAATTATTACATTCTTCAACATTATTATAACATTATTAATTATAAACTAATAAATAATGTTTTAGAAAAACATTCTTCAACATTATTATTACATTCTTCAACATTATTATAACATTATTAATTATAAACTAATAAATAATGTTTTAGAAAAACATTCTTCAACATTATTAATTAGCGATTAATAACTGTCTGAGGAATGCAGTGTAAAACACGTGTGGGAAAGTGGAATAGTTACATCATGATTAAGTTTTAAATTTTCAGTCAAACGGCAAGACATTATTTCAAGCTGGTTGGTTCATGTACAACTGGCTACATCGTAAAAAGAACTGTGTAACTATTAAATGAATCTAAAAATAATGCAGTCAGACAGATGAACATGGCATTGATGTATAAATTGAAGACGTTCGATTAGTGAAAAATATTCGGGAAATCCCGATTATTTATTTTTACATAGGTAATCATAAATTATCTGCAAAATCTGAGATATAGGTTAGTAATTATTGACAAAATGAATCATATTTCAGACTGAATGGGAAGTGGTCATAGCCGGACAGGCGACTTAAATGACAATGCGTCGCATTGTCTCTGGTGTCAGATTACGCAAAGTTCCAATGATTTCTATGAACCAACGACCATTACCGTCACCTATGACGAGGAGAAAAAGTATGAAATTAGTGTTAAATTACTTTAACTAATTTGGATTTTTATATTGGATATCGGGATATTTGGGAGTTAATTTATAAATGAAGCATTTTCAGAGCAGATTTCGATGTGTGTTTCAAAAATACTCGAAAAGTAAAATCAAAATGTAGAGAAATATCAAAAGAGTCTTTGGCATCAATGAATTTATTAAACGGTTCGATGATTTCAAATTTTGAACAGCAGCAGCGAAACGAAAAGTCAGTGAACTATATTATGGGGACTGATAATGCTGCTTCCGACAACTACTTATCATATTCACACTTTTCACACGATCCTCTTGCACAGGTTATATTAGGCATCACTTTTAATGTGGTTGGAATTTTAAAAAATTAGTGAAATAATTATGTCTATGTTAAGTTAAGGATCAATTTGAAATTTTCTTGTAAATTTATGATTTATTTCATCAGTGACTGCCATTCAGGAGATATAATTTTGATAATTACAACACATTTAGGTAGGTGATGTTTCAAGCAAAAATCAGAGTTTGAAAAAGAAGTACTTAGACAGTCAAATCCAAGTAAATCGTTGTTTCTCACTTCCATCATCATCCTTAACGTCTGAAACTCCATCAAATATCGACAGTGGCAGCAAAACAAAACCATGCCACGTTTTGCTAACTAAGCGGTTGAATAGGGATAAGCAATTATTTAGCTCCAGTGATGAGGAGAACTGCCAAATCATGAATCCAGTTCAAGTGAATATGATATGTGAATCTAAATATACCATCGCAGCGGATTCTGATTCATTGTTTCTTGATGGCAGCAATTATAAGAAGGTTATATCCTTACTACTCATTCCCGATAATTTATATTTCAAGGTAATCCATCGATTTAAGCGCTAAGAAATGGATTTACTTCAGTGATGATTTTCTTAACAGGCATTAAAAAATATTCGATCGCTTTCTAATTCTAAAGCAGAAACAAGGAGAATGAAGTCTAAAATTTTGATTCAAGTATCTCGCAGGATTAGAAATTACAAAAGCTGTCTTGTAGGATAATAATGAAAAGAGGAGAAAATAGGAGTGTCAAAAAATTTGTGTTATATTCTGTTTACGTGACTATTATATAAGTTTCATGAAATGAGGGTGACGACAAAATCTTAATTTTTATCTTAATTAAGATCACAATTCTTCTATCTTGTAATTCGATCTACTTTTTAATGAAATTAGAATCAGCTAAAAGTTTCACAACAAGGAAAAAAAGAAGGACGGAATATTGCAACTTGTGAGGGAAGCTCTAAATTGTGCTGTTTGTGCTGTTATCACATAAAGTTGTTTTGACAACAAATTAATTATTGACAGAAATTTTTCGATGGAATTAGAACCGGTTTAAATTTTTAAGGTAAGAAAAGACCAAGCCAACACCGACATTACAAATATTTGGTTATTTCTACCAATGATTGCATCACAAACTGGCACACTTTCAGTGCTCTTTCAAAATTTCATGGTATTCATCCATGATGTTAGACTATCACTATAAGAACATCTTTTCAGGTTTAATTCCAGTGCTAAAACATCAGTCTCTGATGGAATTTAACTCTTTTATCAATGAAGTAATTGATTATTGTAATCTATAAAATAAAGAGCTCATTTGTATTTTAGATCATAAAAAGAAGAAAAAGTGAGTGTAAAATAGCTGCAATCATCATGGAAACGAAAAGTACAATTGAGAAATTGGCTTTGGTAAGTTCATTTTATAAAAATTTATTAGTAATTTTTTTATGTTCTCACTAAATGCTTAACCTCCCCCTTTCCATACTGGCTTATATCACAATTCTAAACCACTATCTTTTACCATATAAGTAAGCAATTCATAGGCTTTTCTTCACACTTCATACTTAACTGAAAGAAATTGACAATGGTTCCGTTTTTCTTAGATGCAAATGCAGATAGTATGATAATATCAAATGAAAGAATTTGACTAGATATTTACAATAACATAGCAACGTGTTCTACAAAAGCACTTTGCAAATTGGCCATCGGTGATAAAAATCAAACAAGCGGATTTCTTTCAAAAAATATTGCTTTTGGTAATACGATATGTATATGTGTCATCGGTGATGAATGAGTTAATAAATAAATGCATAGCGCTTGTGATTTCCATTCTTCAATGATGAATTGCATAAAAGGAAGCAAAGAATTGAAGATTGCATTTCCACTCAATACATGTAGCAGTGTTGTTTGTTGAACATCATTAGATGACAATCATTACGAATGAAGAATTAAATAAAAACTAAAAAAAATAAATATACAAAAAAGACATTTTTTAAAAAATATTTCAAATATTCAATTCTACATGCGGACTAAAATGTCCATCAACTTTTTTCGCACCTTTGTCCACTTCTTTCAATCATAGTGATCATTACATCAGCGACCAGCTAATGGTCACTTATTCGCTTATTAGTTAATCTGTCATTCAATCAAAAAGCTGTACTTAGTTGGAGAAAATAGCGCAATGTTTGAAGAGAAGCGAAGATTAACAGGTTTTGTAGAACAATGCGATAGCAGAGAGATGTAGAGAGTAAGACGATGATTCATAATTGGTAGGAATTCAATTAGCGATTTCAGGGGAATTGAGTGGAGATGATTTAGAGGGATGAGATATTTGGACGAAGTTTGAGATGAAAATTCAATTTAGGGGACAGCAGATACGATGGCAATAACAGCCCTACCGTTGGATTGCTGGCTGAAGGAACGCCTGAAGAAATGGGTGCAGCTCTCCGGACACGAAGGTTGGATTGCCTCTTCTCTGCTCCTCCTTATACCGTTCTCATCTCGCATCCTAAGCGAGTACCGTACCACATTACAATATTTTTGCTCAGTTTCTTCAGTGTCTCTTTGTATTGTGCTGTTAGTCTCCTCATGTTCAGTTATCTCCTTGTTCATAATTATGTCATTCTGATTAGTGGAATATTTCTATTAAATTGACAGGAACAATAGTTCCTGCGACGAACAAAACGCTATGGAAAAAACAATCATGCGGAAGTTATAATGAAAGTAATGCATATCATGCGTTAATGAATGATCCCGCACTGCAAGATTTCGTGCCTCGATATTATAGAGAGGTCGAATATGAAAATGATCGTTAGTTCTTAGATGTTTATTTACATAATGCTGTGCATCCAAGTAGAAAGAAAATAGTTGATAAGTTGTATTATTCATTAAATTTCAAAGCTGATTCCTTTTTTAACTTTCTTTGGCGCAATATTTCATAAGGTAATTTCCATATTTCATAGATAGCTCTGAAATAAGCTTTTTTGAAGGAGATGTTTTACAGTGAGACAGTCGTACAATTGATTAATTCGCTCTTTCACAGCGCAATAATAAGTGTACTTGTGGAATGTCCATTGGTTTCCAATTTGTGATTTTTTTTTGTCCACTCTAAATATGATATTGCAGGTTTTATTGAAATCGAAGATCTCACCGCTCTGTTCGATGACCCGGCGGTAATGGATATTAAGATGGGAACCAGGTAAAATGTTGAGAGCGATTATGAATGCGTTTAAGTATTTTATTAACTTTTTTTCATGTTGCATTTCTGAAATTTTTTGAATCCTAAGCTTAAGTCTAAAGACATTTTCTTAACACGAGAAGTTAAACTCTTCCAGAACTTTTTTGGAGTCTGAAGTTAACAGTAAAATCGTACGAAACGATTTGTATGAAAAAATGGTTTCATTGGATCCTTACGAGCCTACAAAGGAGGAACATGCTGCTAAAGCTATAACGAAAACGCGTTATATGCAGTTTCGAGAAAAGGAAAGTTCCACTGCAACAATGGGTTACAGGATTGAGGCTGCTAAAGTTAGTTTGTGCTGAAGTGGTGAGGTGTTCCTTAAGTTTTCGGGAAATCTTTTTTTTTAAGTGATGTTTGGAACATTGTCTTAAATGGTATATCATTTTTCAGATGCCAGGTGGGATTTTGCAAAACAGCTTTAAGAAGGTAAAAACGCATGAAGATATCAGTGAGACATTATTGGAATTTTTTGGTCAGCACACATCGACAGCTGGCTTTCATATTTTACAACGCCTGAAAAGATTGCGAGAAGCTATTCAAAAATCACTATTTTTCCGAACTCATGAAGTAAGAAATTTTTAGTTTTATTATTTTATACTATGCATTTGAAAACATATTTTAATATAAGGAAGGAAAAATGGTCATCAATGCATTGATCCGAATATCTGAACTTTATTTGTGTCAGGTAATTTCTTTTTTGTGGAAACTGTATATTGCTATAGGTTATTGGCAGTTCATTGCTATTAATGTATGATGGAACATATTCTAACGTATGGATGATTGATTTTGCGAAATCGATTCCGGTGGAAATAGACTCAGTTAACCATAGACGAGAATGGGTTTTTGGTAATCATGAAGATGGATATTTTGTAGGACTTGACAATCTTATCGAGGTTTTGATTTAGAAGATCTTTAAATTTCAAATTTTATAAAGAGTGATACTTTTTATTAAGTAATAAGATCGTCTTAAATTTTATTTTGCTTTTATTTTTGTCACTTATAAATACTTTGCACAGCTATTATTATTTTCATCTTTATCAAATTAGTTGTCGATGCGGAATGTATTTCTGTTGCTACACAAATTATTGTATTTTTCAGATTATGGAAGAATTGGTTTTGTTATGACTTATTGAGTATTTTTGGAAGTCCAGGATTTTATTTGTTGTACTCTCACAAAGGTGCTTGATTTTTATAATGGAAATAAAAATACATCCAGTTTAAAATACATTTCGTACTCAACTTTTTTTAAAATGTTTCTTGGGATGCATGCAATCTGTAGAGAATGGAGTTTCCAAAAAAAAGAATAAGAATTTCTTGTTTTTATGATTTTTGTTGTCAACTATGGAGAAATTAGGCAATTCCTCTATTCTCTTGATGTTATGGAATTTTTCTCTCATACATCTGTAGAGAGTGGAGTGTCCAAAATTACTCTTAACATACTGTTTACCTCACTTTATTTGTTAGTTTATGATTTATTAGAAAATATTGCGGAATATTTTACTTTCCAATATTATATATTCTTTCCACTGACACCAACCACCGAATGTCTTAAAATAATCCTCACCTGTGTTTTACATATGACAGACACCCAGTATTGAATGTCCAACCGATATTTCATTGTTTTGTTGTCTGTGAATGATACACTAAACGAGCTATTAGCTACTAACAATTTATGAATTAATTGTCTGCCTAATGATTTCTCTTTTCTTCTTTGCTACTTTTGCATTATTAAATCCATTATCAAGACCTCTGTGATATGATTCACTTGCGTTTTTCATCTTCATTTTTTGTTGTGTGCAGCAAAGATCTCGAAAACTCACAGGAGCCTTTTTAATTTTGTGTGCAGTTTATTTTTCTCAGTACCTCAAATTATCATCAGAATTATATTACTGAGATGAACTGTCACCTTTAATCAGAAATTGAATTTTACTGGTTTGTAAGTTTTCTTTTTTCACCAATTTCATAACGTGTTTTGAGCCATTCTTATGTTTTCTGTCACTCTTGTTTCTAAAAAATATTTTTATATTTTTGATTTTCAGAAATTAATGGAATTTCAATTTGAAATTGTTGCTTATATATATTTTTTTAAAATCGAACTACTGATTGTCAAAGAGCGTCACAGTAATTTATATCTCAAATTGCTCAATATTAGGAGTTAATTTTTTGCAAGTATATTTTGTCCGTTTAGCAGGGCTTACTATTGTTTTGATATAAAACTTTTGTTTTTTCCTTAAATAATGTTATCTCTATATGGTTCCTCTCTATCAGCATGTATATTACTTTATCTTCAACAAATCCTGTATTAATATATAAAATTATAAAATTTATAGCAGAATTCTACATAAAAACGAACAACCGGTGTCTTTGTTTTAATTATGCTGTATCTTTGATTTTTGATACTATAAATGTACGATATTGTGTGTTGTGATATTCATCATCTATAAAATATGAAGTTTTATATAACATCAATCATCTTCAGGTAGCAGTGATGATTTTATTATTGTTTAAGAATTTGCTTGAAATTAATTTTGCAGAGGATTGTTTCAGCGGTTTTAAAGTAGTAGTTTGTATTATTAAGAATCACAATAGCAAAGACTAAAAAATTCAGAAAAGAGGAATATCATGTCTAAATTAAATCTATATAAGTAGAATACGACTGACATGGCATCATGTAATAACTAAGGGGTGAAGTAGACTGAAGTTACTGCTTTAAGAAGGAATTTCGCAAGTAGATTTTTATGGTTCCATGTTGTTGATGAACACTGTTTATACTTCGATTATTATTTGCTTTTCGTGATCACTGTCGAATAATCGAAATGAGGTCCACGATGTCAATTGATTGGCACATATAAACTAACGTCCACAGTCGTTTCTTTTATATGCAAATGTAACTGATCTCTATCTTGTGCAGTTAGCGTAGTTCGGCTAGGTGTTGTACTTTTTTTGATATCTTCGTTGCTTCTAACCAGATTAGTTATCAAACTGCATACTGATGTTTTTTTTTTAATTTCGTTCAATAATTTTACTGCAGTGAAATTTTGACATGAAATTCTGCTTTGATTTGATAAATAACTAAAACCGTTTTATATAAATTTCATCATAACAGCAAATTGCACTATGTAATTTTAGTCTTTAGTTTGAGGTGTTTAAAACGAATATATTACGCAACAAAACTACCATTTTTTTCCAATTTTTTTTCTCAGAATTCCAAAAATCCTTTATCCGACGGAAAGAGCAAGACACCTCTAACATCGATTCGCATGAAAGAAAAATTGGAATTTATGGGCAATTTATTCATTTTTTTATTTCAGTGCAATAATTTCTAATTTTTATTGATAGTATCTTATCAGAAGCAAAGGCGATGTGATTATATTTAATTTAAATTTAATATATCAAATATGCTTCACTCTTTGTTGTGGAAGAAATATTTCAATATTATTATATTCATATAATATTATATATGGTTAATGATATCCCTGGATTATTTTTATATGAAATTGCAACAAAAATAAATATAAAATTTAAAAATTCAAAAAATTCTTCCCGAAAATTTTCTATGTTTTGATTGAAAATCGAATTCATCTGATTCTGCAAAATAATGGTGTGAAGAGTACATCGATAATTCAAGACAATTTATCTGTTTATATTATAAATAATCTACTTCAAATGATATTGTTCCAAATTAACAATTATATGGACTACATAATAACAAGCACCGTGAAAGCGGCTCAATCCAAAACACAAAAAGAAAACTTTGAACTCGACAATACATTTGTTGAAAAGTTAGGATTATTTGTAATTACCAATATACTTTCCTCAGAGAGTTCGGCTTGAACTCTTGACGGGTTTAATTTTTAAAAAAAAACCATAAGCAAAGAAATGCGGCTGTTCTCCTTTGACAGTATTTATGCGACAATAGCTAAAATTATATGTGAAAGTAACGTATTTTTAAAATGTTGCAAATGACAATTTAATTGCAAACCCGAAAAAGGAGATTACATTTCATAAAACAATTAAATGACGATAATAGTAAACGGTGTCAATTCAAGCATCTGAAAATGTTATCACTCTATCAATGCAATATAGCAAAAACAGAAGAGATTTAAATTCTAAAAAAAATAGAAATTGAAGCAGAATTAGAAACTTTCTTCGATCAATTTACAATATTTCGTCATTAATGCTTTTTATTTGTCGGGAAAAATTTTTCTATTATTATTTCAAGTGAAAAGCCTAAATAGGTTGAAATGAATTAACAGAATAGTTTATCCGCCCGCTACAGTGTCGTAATTTGCGCGAAATAATCGCTTATGTAACTGAAATTTCCACACCGCACCAGACATTACTATCAGTACCATAAGTAAAATGAATACTGTTATCAGTGTTATATTCGAATCATCCGGAATCGCTGGTTCTGTTGGCTTCTCAAATATGAAATATGTTGTGGTTGTCTAAAAATATTCACCAGTTATTAAAAGGATATTAAGAGGAAAGGTTTGGAAAAAGAAAAGAAACAATTTAATAATGGAAATTCCTTTTTAGGATAATTTTTGGATTTATTTCGAATTGTTTTGTTTTATGGGATTAAAAATACAAACAAATGAAGTATTAAGCAACCAACAGATACATATCAGATCAGATCAGATCAATTCCCTTTGATTTTCTTTCATTTCAGCAGAGATCATGAAACCAACGTTATTAATTGAATGACGAATGAAAAATGAAAAAAAAAAGAATCAAACAATATATTTACCTCCTCCTTACTATTTTTAATCTTTCTTTCATTCTTTTCGCTATTCTCTTCCTCTCCTTCATCCTCCTCATCTTCCTCCTCTTCCTCTTCCTCCTCTTCCTCCTCCTCGTTTCCATTTTCTGCACTTCCTTTGCTTTTTTCTTTCTCCTTTTTACTATTCATCTTCCCTTCGTCCTCGTATTCCTCACTCTCAATTTCATCTTCCTCATCCTTCTTGTCTTCTTTTCCCCTTCCTCCCTTACGATCTTGACCTGAATAATTTCATTAGATCGAATATGCAAAATGTTTTTGTGAGATCAGCAATCCCAGATTTGAAATCGTATTTTGAAATATTTTTGCATAACTCATTACCTCAAATATTTCTCCAAAATGAAGAATTGACGTTTTTTCCATAGAAATTATACTTCACATTTTCTTCAGTCAGTTAGTAAGCAAAAGTGCAGAACTCCTTTACTAACTGTCCAGAAGTTATCAAATCCTCTGATAACGGGAAATTCTTGCTCTTATGCAGATAAGTCAAAAATTGAAGAACTTTGAATTAAATGGTTGAAACACTTACTCATACTATTTGCTAAGTTTTTTTTCTAGGTCTAATATGAATAACTAAACTTTTTTATAAGTATAATATTAAATTAAAACGTAGCAGGAGTAAGAAGAAAGTAATGTGTTGTTAGTGCTAGGAAAACTGCAAATCTTCCATTTAATTTAGCAAAATTTGATACTCTCTTTAATGGCAATTTATTCGTCGAAAAATATATTTAGTAACTAATGAATTGAGAAATTTGACTCGCATGGATGAATATATGTCCATATCAATTAATTTACTTTTTTATGGGTCTAATATTAAATTAGAATATAGCAGGAGTAAGAAGACAGTAATGTGTTGTTAGTGCTAGGGAAACTACAAATCTTCAATTTAATTTAGCAAATTTTTGGGAAAATCCGGCACATTTCTTCCGGTTCCTTCGATCTTATCAGTATAAAGTATAGATTACGATATTCAATGTAATCAATCAGGAAAAGTTGAAGATTTTGAATTTAGAAATTAAAATCGAATAACTTCGAATAACAGCGAAATTTCAACTACTAGCCTTTTCAGAAAGTTATGTTGCCTTTTTCAGCTGTACAGTGGTTGATATCTTAAAGGCCTAAAAATCCCTGTGGCAACTTCGAATTCTACAGTTAGAAGCTTTACTACTTGCTTTAATAAAGAATAAAAATTTAAGAATTCGTCCAAGTTTCTTCAACTTCTCTCTTTCCTCACTATTGATGGCCTTTTGTTCAAATCAAACAATTTGAAGTTGAAGTTCGAAAAAATTTTTCTATCAAAACAACAGTCATAAATTTTTTATATTAGTGATAAATTTAAATTTGAAATTGGAAAATGACATTGAAAGGATGAAAAGAACTGCATGCTATATTCGTAGCTAAAACAAATTTTTGAAATTGATGCAGAAGAATTTTCTGCTAGCTCTAAGATACCGATAAAATTTTATCGCATCAGCAATTTCAAAAGCTTTTTTAAATAAACTTCTCGATGTTGAATCCGTTAAAAATAGATTCTATTCACCTTAATTCCAAAAAGAGCAGAACAACGAGAGAAACACCATTTACCTTACCTTTTTGTTTCTTCCTCGATTCCTTCTCCTCTTCCTCCTTTTCCTCCTCTCTTTCTTCCTTTTCTCTCTCCTCATCTTCATAATCTATCTCTATTTTAGGCGGCTTTCTAAAATTATTGAAATTATTGATATCCGCTTCTATAATAATTGATTAATATATTTAAAAGAAAGAAAAAATGAAATTTGATACAAATTTACTTTATCGTTTTCCTATATTTTAACTCTTTGCTTTTCCCTTTTGGTAAAACGGTTTCTTGATTTGCTCGAGCTCTTCCTATTGCACGCCTGTCGTTGGTCTAAATTGTACTCATTGATAAGAAATGTTTTTAAGTAATAAAAACTTTTTAGTAACATACAAAAAGTAAATATAAGTAAGACTAACGATATAAGTATATAAGTAAGACTTGTATATAATTGTATATAATATAAAGTAAGACTATATATAATATAAAGTAAGGCTTGTATACAATATAAAGTAAGACTTGTATATAATATAAATATAAGTAAGACTTGTATATAATTTATTATCAAAATCATTCATCAGTGTAATATCCTACATTTCCTTGAATATTAATTCCAGACTCTCTCTTTCCCTCTCTTTCCTTCTCTCCCTCTCTCCTTCTCTCCCTCTTTCTTTCTCTCCCTCTTTCTTTCTCT